ACAAACAAATGTGATTGTATTTCGTAGAGAAGGAACTGCTAGTCTTTGGAAAACGTTAATCTTAAAGTTGTAAGTTATTATATATATAGCACAACAAAAATAGCACAACAAGGGTTAAACTAAAATATTTATTCACCCGAACTTTACAACAACAACAAAATCAACCACACTAATTCTCGAGTGTGAAAATGCGACAGCATGCACGCGAACACGACTTCAAAACATTTAAACAATTTGATTTATCAGCCACATATTCAAAATTCAGACATTTCATCTGCAATAATATACTAGCGAAACCATATGAAAAACTAGGAGGGTTTCCCTACATACGTGAGCACTGAGCACTGTAGACTAATCACTATAAAATAGGTGACATTTCTACAACATCAAAACTCACCAAGAATTTAGACTATAAATTCTATTCAATACCGTCTAACACCCAACCACGTGTAACAGAGCACGTGTTGCCCGCCCTGCACGTGCGTCCAACGTCAACTCCTGAAGGGTGTACACTCTTTCAAAACCAAACGCCGAACCCCGAATCCCTGACTGATATAGAAGATTTAACGTGCGCTTTCCGACTGTAGCGTATTTCGCACACGGGCCTGGCCAGACCATTTAGTGTATTCCGAAAAGGGTGAAAGTGGTGTGTGCAACCCAAGAGGGGGCTTTTAGGGGTTGCTTAATTATATTGAATTTTTGGAATTTTTAAATTTGGAATAAATGCCGAGGTGGGTGGGGGAGGGAACTAAGGGAGCCGGGTGAGGTGGGTGTTTGTATGTTTATTGGATTTTGGATTGGTAGATTAATTAGTTTTTAGATGCGCTTAATTAGGTCTGTTTTGATTAGGAATACGCCTATGGCCTTGAAGTTTTCTAGTTTAATTTGAGGGTTTAGTATTTCATCTAGAGTAGGAACCTTATTTAGATTGAGGGTGGTTTGTAGTGTGGTTCTGTGTGTTTTGTAGTGGGTGCAGTGGATGAGTGCGTGTTCTGTGGTTTCGGGTTGTTTGCAGTGGGGGCAGTTGCCTGTGGTGTGCCTTTTAAGTTTTTTTAGGTGGTTATTTAGGTTAGTGTGTCCTGTTTGGAGTTTTGTAATTGATCTGTCAATTTTTTTTGCGGGGTGTAGGATTTTAGGTTTGGCTAGTGGTTTTCTGAGCACTTTTTTGATTTGGCTATTTGAGTTTTGATATTGATTATGCCATTTTTTGGTTATTTTTTGTTTGTTAACACTTTTAATTTCTGATTTTGAGATGGGTAGGTTTAGGCTTATTTCTGGTATTTTGAGAGATAATTTAGCTGCTTTATCGGCGCTTTCGTTGCCGTAAATTCCTACGTGGGCGGGGATCCACAAGAAGGTTATTTGTTTGCCTGCTTTTGTTAGGTCGTTGGAGCTTTTAAGTATTTGGTTTATTAATTTAGGTCGTTTTTTGGTATTTTTGTTTTGGAGGGCTTGAATCTCCGTGTCAGTCACAACTTATAGCCTTGAATGCACCACGTGATCTCTATAATTGGCTGCCAGTCACGTGAAGGCGTTCCACTCAACCGGAGATGGCCGAACTAAGACGGACACAGCCGATCGTCGTTACACATGATTAGAAAACACATTCTGATTGTCACTTTCCTGATCTTGTAAGCGACTGTCTGATTGGTGGGATGAAAGGTCGTTCTGATGTGATCCGTAATGGGATGTCCTCAGATCTTGAATTGAGAACTAAGATCTGATTTTCATGAGATTGCTGAAATTATCGACTAACGTTCCCTGGAGACTTAGTTCATATGGCAGGGGGGGGGGGGGGGGGGGGGGGGTCATGTGTGAGTATTTCTGCAGTCATGCATGGCTGCAAACCATTTAGCGCTTGATGTTAAGGGGGTGGTTCACTTAAACATTGTATTCATGAGCGGTTTCTGAAGTTATGTTATAACTTGCATAATACAATAGGTTCGCACCATACAATTTGTACTCGTTATAAATCACAGAAAATGATACTCATGATACGGAAAAACACTCCTCTAATCCATATATACTACCCATCAAAAGTTTAGACTCACTGAAACCACTCACTATATCTCGTAAGAAAATCGTATTTGTGAAAGCTACCGATAAAAAATAACAAAATCATTCATTTAGGTCTTCATATCCTTGTTCACAAGGACGTGTGCATTGATGATTAGTGAACCAGAATGCCGTATTGGATAGTACCATACAAAAGTGAAATTGCAAAATTTAATAACGGGTATGACCACCCCTGGCTCTAACACAGACATTGCATCGACGTTGCATACCACGAAAGAACAGTTCAATCTGCCGCTGGGGAATGTTTGCCACTCCTCAAACAATGCATTGCGAAGTTGGCGAAGGTTAGCAGGGGGAGGAACTCTGGCATAAACACGCCGTCCCAGCAGATCCCAAACATGCTCTGTGGAGTTCATATCGGGCGATAATGCTCGCTAATCCATTCGATTCACCCCATTTTGTTGTAAGCAAGCTGACACGATGCGAGCTCTGTGAGGCCTGGCATTATCATCTTTGAAAACCGCGTGACCTGGCATGGCCCTTCAGAATGGAAGCACAATAGGAATGATGATCTCGTCCCTGTATCTCTGGCCAGTCAGATTTCCATCCTGTACCAGTAAATCAGTTCTTCCAGTCAGGGTGATACCTCCCCAGACGATAACGGATCCACCTCCAAATCGATCATGCTCCACAACAGCAACGTCAGCGTACCGCTCTCCCTGACGTCTGTAGACTGGGATCCGACCATCGTTGAAATGCAGATTGAACCTTGATTCGTCGGAGAAGAGTACCCTTGCCCATCTGCGGGGACCCCAGCGTAAATGTCCATTTCCCCAATTCAGTCTGTTCTGACGGTGGCGTGGTGTAAGAGGGGGTCTTACAGCTAGACGACGTGCCCGCAGTCCGTAGTGACGTAATCGGCGGCGTATTGTTGATACAGATACACGTCGTCCTGTAGCTTGTTGGAAAGCATTATTGGCTGCTGTGGCTGTAATGTGTCTGCCCCTGAGAAACAGCAAAAAGACGCATCGGTCATCTTGCTGTGATGTTACCCTTGACCTACCCGACCTGGGTCGATCCTGGACGGAGTTGGTCTGTTGAAAGCGTACCCAGAGGTTGGAAACTGCCTATTGGGATACGCCAAGACGTCTGGCAACAAACCGTTGTGATCTGCCATCTTGTAGCAGTGCCAAGGCTTGATGTCGTTGCTCAATACGGAGACTTCTCCCTCTACCCATGCTTGCATCAAAGAAGAATTTCTCCACTAACTCAGAAGAGCCAACTGCAATCCTTATAAAGATGAATTGCACGAGTATCCCGCGTCAAATTGCTGCTAAAACACGTGCATTATCGTGCATGTGAACACCTGCGTTTTGGTGCGAATTTTGTTTAAAAATGTGCGACATTTCACAGAGTTTTATCAATTAATGAACGAAAAACTCTAATCTTTTCACCGATACAGATTTGGTTTTACGCCACAACAGTTCATGTGCTAACAGTACCTGTAAAAAGTTTAGAATATTTGGCATTATCTGGTTTGAAACAGTTGAGTATAGTGAGTGGCTACATTTACACTGGTGAGTCTAAACTTTTGATGGGTAGTATATATGAAGACCATTATGTTTTGTTACGAAGAAGTTACAAAATAAGTGTAATCACAAGGCACAGAGAACGTTTAAGGTCGAATAAGGAGGTGTGATAGGAGTTGGTGACACGTGTTCATAATGAGGTCTAAGAAACATGCTCCTAAATAACAATTTATGGGGCGGTCGTGTAGCCTTGTGGTTAAAGCGTTCGCTCGTCACGCCGAAGACCCGGGTACGATTCCCGACATGTGTACAATTTGTGTAGCCCAATTCTGGTGTCCCCCGCTTTGACATTGCTGGAATATTGCAAAAGCGGCGTAAATCCACACTCACTCACTCACTAATAACAGTATGACATGATAGAGAAGTATGGTTGAAAGGTATAATACCGCGTCCTACAATCACATGATAAAACAATGCAATCACATGACTAAATAACAAGGTACGATAACATGACGTAATGACAAAATAAACAAACAAGGCATAATGATATGACATAATGACAGCGTTTAATAACACGGTATAATGTCATCTTATATTTGACGTGTAGGGTGACAAAACATATGTTCATAACATAATAACAGGGGGCGAATGTGGCGTAATGGCATTACATAATAACACAGTATACTGATATGGCATAATGACATGACGTCATAACAAGCTTAAGGTATACTCATATGGCATCATGACGTTCGCGTATACTAAGCTTAAATGGCATGATATAACAGGGTACAAAACACAATACATGGTAATATGACATTAAAACAACAATACCACACCTCGAACAAGATGTATCGCCAAGAGGCAATTGTCTTTTGACATTTTAAGTTGTAAATCAGAAGTAATTGGTTAATGCCAAATTTTCGTCTGAATAACTTTGAATTGATAAGAAGAATTGGACTATAGTACCAGTATCCCGTTATCAGGAAGATTATAAATTTGGAATATCAGCCACATTTGAAACAAAATTCCAATAATCATCAAAATTCCGATTCAATGATAAACATCTCACTATCACAGCTAGTGCCATTGGTACTCGTGTCCTTCTCGAATATAAGAGAAATATTTTATCGATATCCGAACAATAAATATATATTGATCTGCAATTTGATTATGGAAGACCTAGCTCTTATGTCACTGTTAATGTCCCACGAGAATATTAATATGGCTAAACATACTGACATTTATGATAGCGGGAATTTCGTGTTAGTCTTGTAGAAGAAGAACTCAACAGGATTTCCAACAAATCGATGGCGTTTAACGCTTAACCTTTCAGTTAAGAAGTACGTTGTTGCTTCCTCCGTTGTACCCTGCCGCGCATCGCCACACAATCCACTTGGCAAGAAAACAAAGGATGCTGAGGCTTTGTTTGTCTTATATGTAAAGACCTGGTCTGCTTCCAGGACGTATCCATTAGCAACTACACATAGCTGGAGACCAACAGAAATACTGTGGTAGTGGGAGACATCGCCTTTACTCATCGCAAAATTCGAGTTCGAGGACAAAATGTTGCTATTTCTGTGTTTTGGTCGATACACAAAATGGAACAGGTTGTGGATGCAAATATGAAGCTGTGACCTTTTGTTTCAAACTGAAGAGCTATGGTTCGTGGAAATATTATCAGCGTGGGGGATATTAAATATTAATGTTCTCCTCTACCTCGAGTCATCTTCACAATCGTGACGTGACGGCAGCACTTCCCTCTCCGCGTCCTCGGATGGCTTCCTACTGCAGGAGTCCCGTGTTTGAGGGCCATGTAGTCTGTACGTGCATCCAACCCAATGTCATCCATGGGTATATTGGTTAACTTGTGAAACAGACATCTCCGAAAAAAGGATTGTAATTCCAGGAGTGTGGCCTTTTAATGTTTTCTGTTTATAATATGTGCGTGATTTATGACTTTCAACATGCCTATCACTGATATTTCGATGGTGTCTTAATATAGAAGCCCAACAGAGATGATGTAAAATCGGTTTGGAATGTACGAATTCAGTAAAGGTCACAGTATATGAAGATGCAACCATGGGTCTCTCAATACCTTTGATTATCACAACGTCGCTTATCGTCTCCCGGAATGCAAATGCTCCAATATGAAACACAAGCATGTGCTTGATAGATGGGGGTATCGTGTTTCTACTGTTGTAGATATATAATGGAGCCGGTCTTCACTTGAACATATTAACCTGACGGTCTTGCATAGTGGTTCCACAGTCAGTGTATCAAATAGTATCTGTTGTTGACGCTCAGTTCAGTGGTCTAAGAGTAAGTCACAAATATGGATGATGAAGGCAACAATGTCAACACACGTCAGTCCTCTTACACGCTTCCTAACGGGGACCGTGATACCACACCAGATACGGAATTCACCGTGGCCCCCGGGCAGTGGCCCGAGGCATGCCCGGAAGTGTGGGACACAGGGGAGGATAATCATTGTCCACCTCCTATTCCGCAGCCTCAAGTCTACATCCGGGTCGTGTTTCTCAAAATCGGCGAAATTGACACGATGAAGGAACAATTCTCCGCAGATGTTTTCATCCAGGCAAGATGGCGTGAACCCTCCCTTGATCACTCAACAGAGAGGGTGAGTATTTTGCTGTGACATAGTGTGGCCGACTCACCCAAAAAAGTTGCCCGTGCATTATTTATTAATTGTTTGTTGTTTAAAGCCGCACTAATATTCCAGTTATATGACGGCGGTCTGTAAATAATCAAGCCTGGATCAGACAATCCAGTGATTAATGTCATGAGCATCGATCTACGCAATTGGGCGACGAGTGAGTGAGTATGGTTTTACGCCGCTTTTAGCAATATTCCAGCAATATAAGGGCGGGGGACACCAGAAATTGGCTTCACACATTGTACCCACGAGGCTACCCGACCACCCCCAATTAGGATACGATGACATGCATCAACCAAGTCAGCGAGCTTGACCACCCGATCCCGTTAGTCGCCTCTTGCGACAAGCATAGCTGCCTTTTACGGCAAGTTTGGGTTGCTGAAAACCTATTCTATCCCGGATCTTCTCTGGGCTCATTTATTATTTTATTATCATTCATTTAATATCATTCATAAAGCACTTATACAAAATAAAATCCGTATTACCAGGTGTCCAGAGTGTTTTCTCCGCACGATTATCTAATAATGACAATAACAACCTGTGCGTCTCCGTGCTTATCTGACACATACTGTTACTTCACGTGTCTCTGCATGTATTTGTAACGTGTGTCACTGGAGGGATAGGATAGACTTACCCTTTGGCGAATATCTGGTATCATCTCTATTTGATAGTGATGCATTAACACATGCTTGTGAAATTGTCGGAATCGTACAATGGCCTCTGTTTTAGCAGCTATTGACTTGATGGCCGCAAATAGAAAATACAGGAGTAAAAATGGTGTTTAAATCCCAACATCGAGGAAACAAAAATATTCCATTTAAAAAACTGTCATAAACTCTAGAAGGGCTTTTTATTTCCTCTATATGTGATCATGGTTATTATTGTTAACATCGTTGATTTAGGTTTTGCCTGATGTGCTCATGGATAACAGTAAACTAAATATATAAAGAACAAGGGGGCACGGGTGGCCCAGTCGCCTAAGGCGCCGCGATTCGCTGTGCAGAGTCGCGTCCCTTAGGCACGCCTGAAACCTATGATTGTGGGTTCGAATCCCGGTTCGCCCCGATTACGTTTCTAGGTTTGTCAGCACCATACCCGCGCTCGTGGGTTTCACCGAAGTGGTAAACGTCTGGGACCTGCATCACTTCGGCCTTTCCTCCCACATTAAGCTGTCACGCCGTGATATGACTGGAATACTGTTAAAAGAGGCGTTTGTAAACTAAATTTAGTACTGATGGTCGCTCTCATTAAAATACATCTTATTCAACGTATTCACTGTTTATTTCTGCCCAACAACCTCCCTTATCTCCCTCAATCATCTCCAACCGGGGATATAGCGGACGTGTTACGCTTTTACACGCAACAGAGGAAGAAAATGAAACGATTCAACATTTTCATAATCCTAACCCATGTTTCATAAACACATGCTCATGAAACAATCGGAGTCGAACAATCGACTCTTCTTTTCACAGGGATTTCTGATGAATGCAGAAAGGGTTTTGTCGCTTTTATTTAAAAAAACATCAGCTTAAAGTTTGTGTCTTTCAACAGAATCGAATGTTTTTTTGCAAACAAAACACGCATCAATTTTCACCACCCCTTTTATGGTCATTATAGTACGTAATGTGAATACATTGGTGATAGTGTGCTTTCCAGCTCTAAATTGAACCTGGTTAAAAGCGTTAAACTGTTTTTATCTTAGTGTATATTTTATCAAACAGACAGAGTTGAGTTATGCTTCGATAATTATCTATATTGTTCCTGTCATTTTTTTTCAATGGGAAGTGGGTGGCTTTGTGATACGGAGCAGGGGGTTCCGCACTGTTGTAAAGTGAATAGAATAATACCAAAAATCAGTTAAAGAAGAATAATCATCCATTATCTACCTGAACTTATTGTCAGCAAAATCCTCAAAGTGACCCTTCCAGCAATTAGACTCGACAAAGCAAAGGAAAGGCAAGTAGGTTGATATAATCTCGATATATAAGACTTTGAATGTTGATATGGATTGGAATTTAATTTGAAAGTCGAGCGACCCGTGTCTTTTCAAATAATTTCAGATCCATGAAGAACGTATAAACATTCTAGTGCAATTATGCCAAACATATAAGTATCTAACACGTCCCATTTTAATTTGGAAACCCAAAAGTCCAGAAACTCTACGGTCTTTGCCCAGTCTCGGTCAAAGGTATTTACAAAATTAAACATGCTGTTTTCATGGGAACATACCAAGGAAGAAAAAAATTTTAAAAAATTGTTAAAAACTCAATATTTACACTATCTCGCCCATGGGCCTGCCCATGGGCGAAGTGTGGCCCATGGGCCTGCCCATGGGCCTGCCCATGGGCGAAGACTGGCCCATGGGTAGCGAAAATCTCTACAACCTGTGTGACTGGTGAATTTACCCGGCATTAAACTAACATAGCGTCATACAACGCACTTCTCTACAACCCGTGTCACGGGTGAATTTACCCGGCATTAGACTAACATAGCGACATACAACGGAAGTCTCTACAACCTGTATCACGGGTGAATTTACCCGGCATTAAACTAACATTGTGTCATACAGCGGAAGTCTCTACAACCTGTGTGACTGGTGAATTTACCCGGCATTAAACTAACATAGCGTCATACAACGGAAGTCTCTACAACCTGTGTGACTGGTGAATTTACCCGGCATTAAACTAACATAGCGTCATACAACGGAAGTCTCTACAACCTGTGTGACTGGTGAATTTACCCGGCATTAAACTAACATAGCGACATACAACGGAAGTCTCTACAACCTGTGTCACGGGTGAATTTACCCGGCATTAAACTAACATTGTGTCATACAGCGGAAGTCTCTACAACCTGTGTGACTGGTGAATTTACCCGGCATTAAACTAACATAGCGTCATACAACGGAAGTCTCTACAACCTGTGAGACTAGTGAATTTACCCGGCATTAGACTAACATAGCGTCATACAACGGAAGTCTCTACAACCTGTGTCACGGGTGAATTTACCCGGCATTAAACTAACATAGCGTCATACAACGGAAGTCTCTACAACCTGTGTGACTGGTGAATTTACCCGGCATTAAACTATCATAGCGACATACAACGGAAGTCTCTACAACCCGTGTCACGGGTGAATTTACCCGGCATTAGACTAACATAGCGTCATACAACGGAAGTCTCTACAACCCGTGTCACGGGTGAATTTACCCGGCATTAGACTAACATAGCGTCATACAACGGAAGTCTCTACAACCTGTGTGACTGGTGAATTTACCCGGCATTAAACTAACATAGCGTCATACAACGGAAGTCTCTACAACCTGTGTGACTGGTGAATTTACCCGGCATTAGACTAACATAGCGTCATACAACGGAAGTCTCTACAACCTGTGTGACTGGTGAATTTACCCGGCATTAAACTAACATAGCGTCATACAACGGAAGTCTCTACAACCTGTGTGACTGGTGAATTTACCCGGCATTAAACTAACATAGCGACATACAACGGAAGTCTCTACAACCCGTGTCACGGGTGAATTTACCCGGCATTAAACTAACATAGCGTCATACAACGGAAGTCTCTACAACCTGTGTGACTGGTGAATTTACCCGGCATTAAACTAACATAGCGTCATACAGCGAAAATCTCTACAACCTGCGTGACTGGTGAATTTACCCGGCATTAAACTAACATAGCGACATACAACGGAAGTCTCTACAACCTGTGTGACTGGTGAATTAACCCAGCATTAAACTAACATAGCGTCATACAGCGAAAATCTCTACAACCTGCGTGACTGGTGAATTTACCCGGCATTAAACTAACATAGCGTCATACAACGGAAGTCTCTACAACCCGTGTCACGGGTGAATTTACCCGGCATTAAACTAACATAGCGACATACAACGGAAGTCTCTACAACCTGTGTGACTGGTGAATTTACCCGGCATTAAACTAACATAGCGTCATACAACGGAAGTCTCTACAACCTGTGTGACTGGTGAATTTACCCGGCATTAAACTAACATAGCGACATACAACGGAAGTCTCTACAACCTGTGTCACGGGTGAATTTACCCGGCATTAAACTAACATTGTGTCATACAGCGGAAGTCTCTACAACCTGTGTGACTGGTGAATTTACCCGGCATTAAACTAACATAGCGTCATACAACGGAAGTCTCTACAACCTGTGTGACTAGTGAATTTACCCGGCATTAGACTAACATAGCGTCATACAACGGAAGTCTCTACAACCTGTGTCACGGGTGAATTTACCCGGCATTAAACTAACATAGCGTCATACAACGGAAGTCTCTACAACCCGTGTCACGGGTGAATTTACCCGGCATTTAACTAACATAGCGACATACAACGGAAGTCTCTACAACCCGTGTCACGGGTGAATTTACCCGGCATTAAACTAACATAGCGTCATACAACGGAAGTCTCTACAACCTGTGTCACGGGTGAATTTACCCGGCATTAAACTAACATTGTGTCATACAGCGGAAGTCTCTACAACCTGTGTGACTGGTGAATTTACCCGGCATTAAACTAACATAGCGTCATACAACGGAAGTCTCTACAACCTGTGTGACTGGTGAATTTACCCGGCATTAGACTAACATAGCGTCATACAACGGAAGTCTCTACAACCTGTGTCACGGGTGAATTTACCCGGCATTAAACTAACATAGCGTCATACAACGGAAGTCTCTACAACCTGTGTGACTGGTGAATTTACCCGGCATTAAACTAACATAGCGACATACAACGGAAGTCTCTACAACCTGTGTCACGGGTGAATTTACCCGGCATTAGACTAACATAGCGTCATACAACGGAAGTCTCTACAACCTGTGTCACGGGTGAATTTACCCGGCATTAAACTAACATAGCGACATACAACGGAAGTCTCTACAACCTGTGTGACTGGTGAATTTGTCCGGCATTAAACT